GCAGCGTGCTCCCACCGTCTCAAACATGTGTTGATGATAACAGCTTAGTCTTAACAAGGTCTCTTGTTGGGCACATGCAAATATTTAGGCAATTTGACATTATGGTATTGAAAGGGAGGCTGTGTTAATACTTGAATACTACATGAATGGACTCTCTTCTACTTACTGGCCTGTGTGAAACGAGTCCAGTTAGATGCCTCATTGCCTGATCACTGAGTCAGCCAGTTCTACCAGTTGTATGAATTGATGACATGCATCACACAGAAATGAGCTAGAACATTTCTCCTCCAAGAATATACTCCAATTGAATTTGTTGAGCTGAAACGGAGGCCAGAGAAGTGAGTATACAGAGTGATATAACGATGAACTACAAATGACTCCATAGTATTTGAAGAGAAACATCAGAATTAGAATTACACACGTTTTAGTTTTTATCAGGAGGAAACAGGACTCAAAGGAAAACAAGTGATGGATTTGCTCTTTAGATTTGTTCAGTCCAGTTTCAGTGTCTACCTGATGGATGTAACCAAAAAATGTGACATGTGTATTTTTAAGGGAATAAAACCATATAAATGTGACTTTAATCCTCATGTACCGAAACACAAAGGAGAGAATGGCGGGACAACACAAATGTACAGCTGGTTGTTTCTTTTCGTACCTGAACCAAACATGGAGAGGCTCTTTAACGTGTACAGTACATGTACTGTACAGCACATAGCGTTCTCAGGGAAACTGGGACACTTGGTCCGTGGTGCAGGAAAAGGAAACGTGTCTATTTAACTGGATGTAAACTTGGCTGATCGGAGGAACAATAGGAGAACCACAAACTGTTGTGTGATTCCTGTGTTTGAAAGTTTCTTTGATTGACTTTAATTGCTTAATGTTTTGTTAATTTATTTCACTTAAATACCAGAGCCATGGTTGACACAAGAAAAATGTAAAAGATAGAGAATATAAAATAGTTATTTACATAAATTAAAAAGCCACAATCAGATGAAATCACCCTCACTATCAATTACACACAGTGAAGATGACTCTGACACTCTGTGTGCAGCTTTTGGAGGAAAGAGTTGAAGAGCAGAACTGTGGGAAGGATTACCAAGATAACCACAAACAGAACCAGTTTTACACTCATGTAACTGCCTGGACAAGTTAAACAAGAGCTGAGATAATATTCTGACTCTATTACTGACCTGAAATAGTTTACTTGATCAATTTTGTTTATTACAGCAAAACCATGAGAAACATGCTGAACACGCTGCGGGTTCTTGGGCCAAAAGAGGTGGAGACATTTGTACCAGAGCTACAGCTGATAGACACACGTGTCAGTGGGACATTTAAACTTTACTGGCAGACTCATGGTAGAACGCAGAGAGCGTCAGCTTTATCGTCCTGTGGGCACTGGGCCTAGCGATTAGCAGGTTATCTCCCATCCTGCACTGGAGGCTTTGCCCTGAGCTGAGACAGGAAGGAAAGCTGGGGCAGTGACTCAGTGGCCCCAGGCCGTATAGTAGAATAATGCGAGAGATAGGTCCAGGTCCTCCGAGCCACTCTGCACGATGGAAAAACACACAGGATCCCACAGACATGAGCCGCATATCAAACACATCCCAAAGAAAGGGGAGGGGAGGGGTGGGGAGGAGGGGGCTCCAGAGAGGGAGACAGGAACAACTGTTTACTGGGGCTCCCGCCTCAGCCCCTCCACATCAGACCACTGGCTGGTTTGGCTCTCGTCTCTTTTCCTGCATCCTCTTATCCTGGATGTCAGTCTGCAGCGTTACAAAAGCAATTCTTGTCAGTATCACTTGATCATTTTCTGCGGAGCCTGCCAGGCTGCGCTGTTTGCATCATACTTTCCAGATTCGAGCAGAGGGGATTTTCAAACATCAAAGTTATTGGGAAGTAAGTGGATAATTGCTTTGAAAGTAGTTCTGCGAAACAAATGCGTGGACGGGCTTTAGGTTTTACTAGCAGAGCTTTCTCATTCCAATCTAAATAAAACAATACAGGTCAACTAAGTGCATGTGAATGCATTCAGACCTCAGCTCTGATGCCCTGCACAGCAGAGGCCAAGCCAGGATTCAGCCTCCCTCATCTTCTACATAGCTACCTCCCCCCAGACTTTGTTTAGCCCCTCGCTGGTTTAAATCTCTAAATCTCATCCCTGTGTGCTTGTGTTTCAGTGAGGTAGAATAAAACTTCCAGCAGGATGTGTGTCGCACAGTCATTAGTAGGCTGCACGGTTCATCAGGGGAAAAGAGGCCATTGGCCGGTGTCCCCTCTGGCTCTCAGCAAAATCAAGCTAAACTTGTCAGGACGGCCTCCTCTGCACGCCCACCTTTCACACGTACACTGAACTCTGCTCTCACATTAAATCGACATGTCAGCTCGTCCTCTCACCTTTCTGTTCAAATCCCATCACTATGCCTTGGTCCAGACTAATAAAAAATCCCCTTTAAGCTCCACTTTCTGTGACATACAGTCGATCATGTGCACGACGGACTAGTCTGCAACAATTAGCTGGAGATATTTCAGATCCTGTCTGACAGAACACAGATGGCACCAGAAACCATTCTCTGGACTCTCCGTCATCTCACAGCTCGCCACCGTCACTTGTTTCTCAGGCTCATTTCATAAAATGTGATAGCACCGAAAATAATTATTGAGGTGAGAATGCTTAGGCCTATTCATTTTTCAAATAATCAAACAACGTGACGTGCAACGTTTCAGGACTCACCTTCCTCAGATATATTTAAGCCTTGGTTGTAATTAGTTGAATATAAACTGCAGCATTAATAAAGGGAGTCATATTCAAATTTTGTATGAGATCAGCAAAGAGCAAAGTCCCTGCAGTCGTTTAAAGCTTCGCATGTCTTCCTGCTGTGTAGACTGTGATGAAGTTGGGGGCAGTGGTGGCTGCTGAAACTGTCAGAACTCTGCCAGTTGTTTTGTGTTCATCTTTTCTTAACCGAACCGGATGATTTTTTTTTTTTTCCCTGAGTTTATTCTGTAACCGCCGGGAAAACCACAGACAAACACGTCCAACAGTAGGATCCATCCAGCCTTATTCTCCCTCGACCGCAGCGTCCTGGTAAACTCGTTGGGATGAAGATCTTTTCCAGAAAACAGTTTACAAGTAAATGTGACTTATAAATGTTCATCACGGTTGCTCACACACAACAAGTTTACTCTGTCTAATTTTTTTTTTTTTTTTTCCTTTTTACAGCAGGAATCATTTGGTGCAAAACTCAAAACTGGGTCAGAGTGAACAGTCAGTGGTTTCATGGTTCTACTATTCTGGTGTGTGAAAAATAACTACTGCTGTTGTCTTCTGTGAAAACATCTCCCAGATGTGTGCAGTGCAGGAAACCCAGAAGACGAGCAGGAGATTGAAAATGACAAGAAGCTCGGCCCTGAGATGTAGTTACAGTGAAGTTTTAGGTAGATTTCTCTATTTTTTTTTTTTTTGTCAATGTGAAGTCAGACTTTGCTGAGGACTCAGCAGAGTCATAGCAGGAATTCCACAGCAGCTATTGGCTGACTGCTGAGCACATCTCCACGGATGCTGTAAACCACAGGAGGTTGGATATCATACCTCTCCGTTATTATCTTGTTAAATCACTCGAATGTGGGTATTTCCTTAATTTTTTACCACAGAAAATAATAAAATAAAATATCAACATGCAGTTATACAGTATAGGATGATAATACTGTATTTAATTATAAACAGATAAAAAATACATGGATCCCTCTCTTGTCTCACAGTATTTTTTTTAAAATTATGTCACAGATTATTTTGGTTTTCATTACAGGAATTCATAATGAATGATTCTGATGATGTCTGATAATATTTGATGATATTTGATGACTACTGCCCCCACATGACAAGCTCAGTGGGAGTTTAGGACACACAAAAATGACTCCACTGAAACTCTCATTTCTTCTGTCTGCTTGCTTGAAAAACAGAGTTAAATAAGTGTGGACCTTTATCCATATTTAGTAATTTAAAAAAATGATTTGACACATTGTAATTTGCAGTAATAAGTTATGCAAGTTATTTTAAGTGACCTTAAAAGGTTCTGTCAGTTTATTGTGCAATTTATCAATTCAAATGCACTTCTGTCAGAGATCAGCTGTTTGTGGTGGGAAACCAGCGTTGCTTAGTTGAACTGAAACTTTATTTGACATCTAATTCCCACACACTTTGACAGATGGTCCCTCACACCTGAATTAACTCAAAAGCAATATGATCTTTTTGTTCAGTAATTAGTTATCAATTAGTCATGTTATTCATTGAGCCATGTGCAGCCCACGTCTCTGCACAAAGACACCTTTGACTTTTAATTTCATTCTGCTTCACATAAGATCCCACAGTGTTGTTTCTCATGATGCAACATCTTTGTAAGTTACACTTAATCTTAAATGAAGCATGCAGTCTTTGATTAGGGAAGCTAAGGCAGTCAGTATGACAGAGTCTGTGGATATTATACTAAATCAATAAAGCTTGACATTTCAGATTCATAGGGAGGAAAAAATATATACAAATAAATGTATTTAGGAGCCTTTACTAAAAATAAGAGCACATCAGAGGCGATTCAGTAGCTTCCTCTCATCTCTAAATGTGTCTGTGCAACACACTTTAGTGACCTACTTCTATCAGCCTATGCTTATTGAGTAGTAATAATAGTAATATTTTCTCCTTCAGCAGTCATCGCTCCCTTATAATTTTGATAGATGAGCATGAATAAGATAAAAATAAATAAATGCACAAAAGAATAAAGTCACACCCACCCACCCATTTCCCACCACAGTCAGCTCCTTAGAAATAACAGAGGTTTTTCCAACAGCTCTCCGATTGCAATTCTGCTGCACAGTATCAGGTGCAGCTCCATCATTCGCTGCCGGCTTCAGGGGAGGAGTTTCACAGCCAAAAAAAAAAAAAAAAAAAAAAAAAAAAAGCTAAGGAGCGCTCAGCTCGTCCGTCACCTCACACTGTTAGAGAAATATGTTCCCGAGAAGAGCGGCTCCTGCGCTTCAACACTTGAGACAACAGTTTCACTGCGACTAATTTCAACTGAAATCACAGAGCACCGCAGAGTCTGCTCCTTGTCCAACTGTTCTCCTCTTCCTTCTCTCTCTAGCTCTGGTTTTTTTTTTTTTTTTTTTTTTTTTTTTTTTTTCTGCGCTGGATCTTTCGTGCCAGAAAATGTGTGTGGAGAGCGATGGATGCGAGATTGAAGGCTGCAGCAGTTCGGATGAGGTGCGCACGCTGTCGGGCAGCATGAGTCCCGGACTGAAATCCAACCCGGATCTCCACCCGTGCAAACCCGGGCAGAAATTCCGAGCCGCGCTGCTCAGATGCCGCTCACCGGCTGCTGCCGCCGGGATCCTCAGTTTTGGGAACGTCCTGAATTACATGGATAGATACACTGTAGCCGGTAAGAGACCTGATCTCTCTCTTTCTCTTAGAGCTATGTCAGAATATTGTTTTATTAATCTTTATTTATCTGAGCGGCCCCGGTAGAGAGAATAGCGCAGCTTTATTTCTCTGCTGGAGTGATTTTAGATGCACTAATTGCCCGTGAGCTGCTTCGCTCCTGTGGAGCAGCTCACCTCAGTGAGACGGGCGGAACAATGGGTTTGCCCAAGCGCAGTGGACAATCTGCTAAAGCACAAGGCTGTTAGATGTTTTCATCGTTGTAGTCTCTGTAGTGTGTAGACTCTGTAGTGTGTAGTGTGTAGTGTGTGTGTGTGTGTGTGCGCGCGCGCGCTGTGATTCAATCAAACTGATAACCCGCAAGTCCTCACTATCACTCAACAAAATTCTTGACATGAGTGGTTTTACGCGGGGCTGGTAGATAATTGCTGATTGAACAATTAGAGCGATCAGCTCTCCATCACCGAACCTGACTGCATGCTTTCACACACGGCGTTTGTGTGTGTGCGCGCGTGCGTGTGTGTGTGTGTGTGTGTGTGCGTGTGTGTGTGATGTCGCTGTGAACTCATCTGTCAGAGCAGTTTCGGCTGCTGCAGAATGAGCGACAGAGATAGAGGGAGCGTATCAGTGTGAGGAATCACTCATTAGCTCCTTGCTGTTTCTGGGAGCGACTGAGTCCAACATCTATCCGCTCTGTGCTGCAGCTCGCTGTGTGATGCTGCGATCAGGCCATGTGGTGTTCATCCTCCTCTGGTGTCCGCATTTTCCTCAGACCCGGAACATATTCTGTTGAAACTGGACACAGTGTGCAGATGTAGTAGTGGAGTGTTTTAAAATGTGGAAGGAGCGTTTGGTTTGAAGTGATTGTGGCTCAGGTGAATGATTATAGAGAAGTCAGGAGATAAAGCAAATAATATTTATGTCTTATAAAGTGATTAATAGATTAAAATTGTTATTCAACTAGTTCAGCATGTTCCTGTGGGCATCAGGAAGGTCCTCTGGTAGATTTGTATTTGATTAGTTGATTATTATGGATTCTTTGTAAAGGAAAATTGCATATAACCCCTTGTTTCAATTGATAACTGTGTGCAAATAAAAGATTAAAAGATGAGTTGAATTAGACCAGATAGACATTTTTATTCTCATCTTAGCTTTACCAATATTTAGTGAGTGGATTTTAGGCTGATTAATGGGCACTGGACTGTGGCACTGAAAGGGTTAAAATATTGCTGCAGCATGGAGAATGAAGGGAAGTGTGTTCAGGGCGAGAGACTCCTCTGTACAAAGACATGCTTTCCTGGTTAAAGTGTAAGTTTCTGTTGGTGCACTCACTGACTTGACTTACATGATACAGTCACTCAACAGAAGCGCACTTGAAAAATCTCACCCGTTATTTGTTACATAATTATCTGACATTAATATTTCTAAAACTGATAAATCAGTAAAAAAAACAATAGTGTAATTTCCTTGCGTGGCCCCTAGCAGACAGGAGTGGCTAATGCAAACAGAACAATGTGTAGACGGAAGTGGCCACATGCCTGTGGCTCATCATCCTGAAGGCTTCAGGTCCAGACTGTCAACTTTCAGGAGTCGAGCCACGCAGGAAGGAAGCCGTGAATGAACATTACAGTGGGGAGGGATTTAGCTGCTCGACCTACAGCCACACCAAGAATGCGTTGATGTACAGTGGCATATCTAATCTCAGCATCATCAAGCACCACTCGGTCACAGCAGATAAAAGCCACATCCTCATCCTCAATCATGGCTGAGTCAGTCTCCTTCTAAAGCAGCGATTTGTACTCCTGTCTGCGTACACCTCCTCACGCTTTGATCAGAGGAAACCCCTCATTAAGGGGGCTCGGAAAATAACTCTATTCTCCCCTGTCCTCTCCATCATGATCCCGCCTCAGTAATCCGCCTCGGCTCTTTACAATACCTCATGAACAGCAAGGGAGAAAATCCTCTGCAAAGCCGTTAACTTTGCTGGATGTCCGCGTGCCTGCTGTGCTGTGACAGGAGAGGAAGAGTGACTGATGTGAGATGAGGAGAAAGTGGAAGCAGGGAGACGGAAGAAAGTGCAGGATGGTGGGGTTGGGGCAGGATGGGGGGGAGGGTGGGTGGGTGGGGGGGGGGTTGTTGGTGCAGCAGCCTGGGCTAACCCTCGTGGAGAGAGGCTGCGCTCAGTGCATGTGGTGCAGAGGGTAGGTCCTTGCCACCTGAACGCTACTGGACTCCTTTGCATTATGCATGGGGCAGCATGTGCGTCAGACAGTCACACAGAATGAGGAGGAAGGGCAACCATGCACATCCAACGTAACTAATACACACAGTACGAGCTGATCTGCCATTCTCCCTCCTGCCTCCATCTCCTTCCATCTCTCTCTCTCTCTCTCTTCTCCTGCTGTGTGAGCTACGTTGCAGCAGTAATTAGATGCTGGAAGCAGCAGCAGCATCTGTGTTGGTCGCACACAGTGTGTAGTGTGTGTATTCTGCCCCGGAGCTGTGTGATATATCAATATAAAGTCATTATTGAGCTGTCGGGGATGCCAGTTATTGTAAAAACTGGACATTTGGCTTAAACATCGTTGTTTCCTGATGCAGTTTCTGAGCTTATTAGATTTTTCTAACTGAAATGAAGTATCAGTTTGTTTACTTTCCATCACCACCTCCCTCCTCCTTACATACCCATCTCCTCTTAGCTCTCTGTCTCTTCTCGCTTCCATCCACTCTGCGCTCTGCTTCTCATTCAAACCCTTTCAGTAGCAGGTACCCAAACTCATAGATCTTAATGTCAATTAAGCAGGCATGAGTGCACACCCACACAAAGCACACACTCACACACACACACAGACACACACACACATGCACACGCACATATTAGAAAAGACTCTCCCCACCATTTCAAGAGGGGCTGAATGAGAGAGGGGAGTTGTGAGGGGAGGGGCTGGCTGCTGCAGTGGCAGGCAGGCAGAGGGAAGTGGATGCAGAATGCAGGCGGCGCCAAGCCTGAGCGATGCTGCCCCGACGTCAAAAGCTCTTTGTACCAACAGCCATTACTGTAGTGTGTGCGGATCACTAAAGCATTGTCACAGAGACAGAGGGTGACCATTCCTGACACCGGGGCTATTCTGCTCCACAACAATGATGGGAAAATTGCACCCAGCAATGCACATCAGCTGTGTGAAAGAGACTTGGATCTTTCTGTTAATCCCTCGTGGCAGAGGTGAAGCCACACACACACAGACACACACACACACACAGACACACACACACACATAAACAAAACAACAGCACATACAAACTTGCACTTTATGGTTCCAACACTTTACTTATCCAAGATGATGGTAAGAACCACAAAAGAAGAGAGAGATCACAATTTCTTTTTTTTTTTATGGTGAGGTTCTTTTGTTCTGGGTTCGATAGATTTACTGCCAATATGTTTTATACAAGACTTGAATATTTAATCCCTCCACTTTGTGAGGAGCGACAGCTTCAAAACAAAATAATTATATGAGAAATAAGCTGCTGCGCATAGAAAGGCATGTTTCAGATCTCAGTATGGCTCCATAGACAGACTGACAATTAAACACAATATTGGTTCATTCGAATCACAAAGCAGAAAAGTGAAGCAAATGTAATGACACTGAGTTAGTCTTCAGTCCGGGAATGAAACTGACTGTGATGTATGTGAACTTTTTAACTTTTCCATCCCCTGAACTCCACTTTCCACCCCTTTTAAAAACGCATTTTCTGTTTCACTGATGTCATGCGGTGTGTTCTGGGATCATCAAAGTGTTACAGGGAGTTCAGTTCAAATTTTCTGCAGTTTCCATATTTTCTATGTTGTGGAATTGGCAGACAGCGGTCTGGCTTTTGTCAGACACACTTATGAGCCAAATCCAAGTGTGAACAGGCACAGAGGAGACCACTAAGATTAAGTTTCATGAATGCTGATGAGAAGGAGAGTGTGAGTAACAGCAGTCAGCAGTGAATTGGACTCGAGGCTTCAGCTGTTCAGGCCTGATGTAGAGCTCTGCCTCAGAAGCCTGTGCTTGTTTTTGCAAGGCAGAAACAGGGAGCGTCTGAGACATTGGAGGAGTGTCCCCATCAGGTCGATCACTCACTCACTTACTGCTCACTGCTTTTCAGAATAGCAGCGTGCGGGGAAATGAGATGGAGACCCGACCATACAAGATTGGAGTGGAGGACGGTGCAGCTGGATGAGTTACGATGCTCTGGCTGGGTCACTTGCGTCTGGCCTTTGGAAGCAGCCGTTTAACCCACAGCCACTTATATTCCATTTGCTTTTCAGAGTTCATAAGAGCTCTGAGATTTAGAGGGCCACTGCATTTAATTTAATTTGAGGTGGCTTTGAAACCTTAAATCCCGGTGTTGGTGCCACTGTAGTCCCACAGCAGACAGTCCAAGCTCCTCGACAGCTTATCATATAGAGGGGATTAAGTGTTTTTCAGAGAATATGAGGATATGTGAGGCAGACACTCAGCACTTAAAGTTATTTGCTTAGTAAGTAAGTAAACCCTGATCTGCGTTAGCTCCAGCCACCCCCCTGTGTGCCCCCAGAGTCACCCCCTCAGCCAGCAGAGGCACAACTTGTGGGGTGCTGACTGCAGCCTAATCTGTGCTGAGCAGAGATGCCGGGGAGCTGCAGATTAAAGCCTCTTCAGGATGAGTTGTCTCAGTCAAGCTGTCATTCCAGGAATGCCCCAAAACAGGGTCACATCCCATTGGACAAGTGCGAGACCCTTGCATGTGAACTTTTGGCATCTTGCTTATAGACACAGATGACAGTGTGGTAATAATCCTCTTAAGGCAAGCTCTTTGTTACCCAGTCATAAAGATGCAGCAATCCGTCCAGTCCGACAGGCTATGCAGATTAATTCCTGTTAGCTTTGTCCAGTTCTTTCGTGGATACTCATTATCAGTGTCCACATAGACCTGAGGCATTCTTCTGCATTAGCATTTTCCACTTTAAGCAACGAC